TTCCAGGAGGATTTGGACTGCCACAGGGTTTCCAGGTCGCGAGACGGGACCCTCGCGGACGGGACTGGCGCCGACTAGAGCGACTTAGTAATGATTCTGGACGGACATGACGTGGCTGTGACGTCATGGCGTGCTTCGTGCAGGTCGGCTTTCCTTGCTTTCCCGCTCTCCCCGCTTTCCGAACGCGCTTTGTGCTCTCCTTCTTTCCGGCCTTCGTCTCTCCCTCTCCCTCCCTCCTTCCCCCGCTCCGTCCTTTTGTTTCACTCGTTCTTTCCCGCTGCAGGGCAGAGGGCAGGGCCGGTCTGACTCCGGGGAGGGGGAGGGGGGAGGGTTATGTTCCTATGCTTGGAGCAGCTAGCCCCCCTCCCCCTCCCCCCTGCCCCCTGCCCCGCCCGCGGGTTGTCTTTCAAAGGCCTTCCTGGCACTCGTGTTCCGGCCAGCGACTACCACTCGGACCCCCCGCCCCCACCACCTGTCTTCTTTTTCACCGCCCGGCATTGTCTCCCGGACTGTTTACCCCCGAACTCGAACTCGATCTCGAACTCGACCGTTGGCGGTTCGATTCTGTCCTTCCGTGCTGTCCCTCGTCGGACCCGGCGGCTAGACGACGTGGAGCACAGTGGGCCAGAAGGCCGGTGGAGGAAGTCGAAACCCCGTACGCGTTTTGAGCTCCTGAGTCGCTAAATAGGACTCGAACCGAGCAAGTGACCCCACCAATGGATTGCTCTCCGAACGAGGAATCCATTGGTGGGGTCACACGCTCGGTTCGCGTCCTTATTTAGCGACTCTGGAGCTCAAAACGCGTCGAGAGTTTCGGCCGCCTCCACCGGTCTTCTGGCCCACTGCGCGCAGCCTCGGCTTCAGCCTCGGAGGTAGGCCGCCGGCCGTCCAGCGCGACGCGCCGGTGCGGCGTGTTGCCTACCCTCTGGTTCGCAGGCGCCGAGGTCCTCGAGGTCCTCGTGCTCCTCGTGGGTCTCCTGGTCCTGCAGACTGATTCCGAGAGTCGTTGTCGTCGCTCTGTCTCTCTCGCACCTGCACGGGGGGTCCGTGAATACGGGAGAGGCAGAGCGACGAAAACGACTCTCGGAATCAGTCTGCTGCACGGACTCGGCGACCCGATGGCGGCAGCGCGGTCGTGGTTCCACGCACTCCGCACGCGCCTTTCGCGTTTTTATTTACCCGTCCTTGCGAGTGGATAACGTTATTCGTGGGCGGGGCTGCGGGGCTGCGCGCAGCGCGGGGCCACGCTCCACCGAGCAGCCTTTGCCGAGTTGAATTGCTTTTCATTCATTGTATTTCGGGTGGGCGCTGTTGTGCATGGCCATGGCCGCCATGCCGGTCCGTGGTGCACGGCGTGCCGCAGCGCGGATCATGGGGGTCACTCTGCGCCCCGCACGCCCTCCGTCTGTCTGTCTGTCTGTCTGCGCGCTCTTTGCGCTGCCCGTCTGTTCGCCCGTCTTCCTCCCTCGCCGCCCGCCTGTCTGCTGTTACAGTGTACGGCCGCCCGTCCATCTACCCCATCCCTTGCTTGTCTGCCCGTCCCTTTGCTGTCTGTCTGCCTGTCCGCCGCCCCCGACTCCTTGCTGTCTGCCCGCCCGTCTGTCTGTCTGTCTGTCTGTCTGCCGTCCTGTCTGTCTGTCTGTCTGTCTGTCCGCCCGTCTGTCTGTCTGTCTGCCTGTCTGTCTGTCCGTCTGTCCGCCTCCTCCCCCCTCCCCTTTGCTGCGGCGCGCGCTGATTAGCCCACCTGATGAAAAGCAAACATTTGATGCGAGCAAACTCGCGCACCGCTGCCAGCGGCTGCCAGCCCGGTCGGGGCGGCGCGAGGCGGCGCGGCGCGGGCTGTGCCTCTGGACCGGCCGGTGCGTGAGCTTGTGTGTGTGTGTGTGTGTGTGTGTGTGTGTGTGTGTGTGTGTGTGTGTGTGTGTGTGCGTGTGTGCGTGCTGCGTGTGTGTGTGGTGTGGTGTGTGTGTGTGTGTGTGTGAGTAGAGAGAGAGAGAGAGAGAGAGAGAGAGAGAGAGAGAGAGAGAGAGAGAGATTCGCGCCGCCGTTCGCCAGTCCATGCCGCGAGACGGCGAGGCGCCGAGACCAAAGTGGAACCAAGTGCAGCCAAGGCGAAGAGACGCCAGGCGCGCACAACTTTTTCTCGTTTCGACACACGCCGGCACGGCGGCCCAGCCCCTGGCGACGAGGTGGCATGTCTTGCGCAATTGTCGCATGTGCGTGTGTGTGTGTGTGTGTGTGTGCGCGTGCGTGTGCGTGCAGGCTGGGCTGTAGGGCTGTCGTGCCGCGCCACCTCTCAGCTGATCGCCATGTGCCTCGTGTCGCGTGGCAGTAACGCGGCGTGGCGGGGGGGCGGGGGGGGCGGGGCGGGGCGGGGCGGGGTGGGGTGGGCGTTCGGCACACGGTCGTCCAGTTTCCCCGGACAGGGGCTGCTGCTGCTGCCGGGGCTGGGGGGCTCCGTGGGGCGCGGTGAGGGCCCCGCTGGGGCTGTTGGCCAGGGGCTTTTAAATGTTGGTCGGCCCCTGCGAGGCGGCGCGAGGGGCGGCGCGGGGCGGCCCCGGGGCGGCGCGAGGGGCGGCGCGGGGCGGGCGGGGGGCGGCGCGGGGGCGGCGCGGGGGCAGCGCGGGGGCTGCCAGAGGGGCGGGGGTGTGGAGCCGCTACTTATGGGGCAGCTGCAGCTGACGCCGTCGCCCGGGGGTGTGGGGGCTGCTACCCTGCCTCGGCCCTGCCATGTTGTTTTCGGTGCTGCGGTGGCTGGGGTGTTCTCCCCCACCCCCGCCCCGCCCGGTGTGTAGCAGTAGCGGCGTCTATCGACGTCGGTGCTTGTCTGAAGCTCTCCTGATACCATGCCGGACTCCGTAAAGTGAAGGCCCTTCTTTTTTTCTTCGTTTTTCTTCCCATTTTTATTTTACTTATCCTCCGCGTGTACCCTGTGGCGAATTTGTGGAATTCCTGGCGTTGCTGGAGGCGGCGCGGCTGGCGGGCTGGCTGGCGGGCGGGCTGGGCGGGGCTGGCGGGGCTGGCGGGGCCGGCGAGGCTGGCTGGCGGACGCGCCGCGCCTCGGAGCGTGGAAGCCGAAGCCGCGAGGCAGTCGCACTAGCGATACACTGCGCGGGGGTCCAAATGATGCTTTCCGAGAATTTGGCGTTTGGCTCGTTTGACCGACGGCCACGTGCTGTGCTGCAAAGCCCTGCGCTGCTTCGGATTTGAAAGGAAATTCCTGCAACTGGTTTGCCAGCTTTGCTTTGACACCTGGAAAGAGATTGCGTCTCGCGTCGCGCCCCGTCGGGTCCGTGGTCGGGTCTCGCTTCGAGCTTCTCGGAAGTGGAATGAAATTGGGGCCCGACGTGGGGTAGTTAGACGGCGATCTCTCTCTCTCTCTCTCTCTCTCTCTCTCTCTCTCTCTCTCTCTCTCTCTCTCTCTCTCTCTCTCTCTCTCTCTCTCTCTCTCTCTCTCTCTCTCTCTCTCTCCAACGCTCTTCGAACGTCGAACTCTCTTTGTTTCGGGGTCTGTCGGTTTCGTGCGACGCGTTGGCGTGGGGCTCCAAGCTTGACCATCAGGGCAGCAATCATAGCCGTGCATGCTCAGAGGAAAGTGTAGTGTGGGCGTGTGTGTGTGCGTGTGTGTTTGTGTGTGTGTTTGTGCGAGAGTGTGTGTGTTATCGCTGCACTCCGCCACGACTCCGACTTCTTTTCGGGGCTTCGCTTTCCTCCTCGTTCGCCCTGCGCCACCCACGGCCCGCGCTGCCTGTTCCTTCTTTCCTTCTTCCCCCAAGGCAGCCTGCCGTGCTTTCTCGTATCTTTTTGCTTCTCCTCGCTCCTCCCCCCCCCCCCCCTCCTCCCCCCCCCTCCGCACCCCCACCCCCCCCCCCAGCCGTCCCTTTCCTCCCCCCCCCCTGACCCCTCTCTTCCCCCTCCCCCCTGCTCCTCCCCCCCAAAATGTTTGAATTATTCGTATCTAAAATTTGCGGCAGTAACAATCCATTTGCTTTCGAGTTATCGCGTGCCGAGCCTCCTCCCTCCCCCCCCTCTTTCCTTCTTTTTTTCTTCGGGCTCCTTCTTCGCTCGCGTGCTAATTAGCAACTTGAGTCAGTAGTCACATCGGGGCGACGGGTGCGTTCGAAGTTCGAAGCGAGCCCTGGGTGGGGCCTCCTCCTCCTCCTCCTCCTCCTCCTCCTCCTCCTCCTCCTCCTCCTCCTCCTCCTCCTCTCCGCTCCTTCCTCCTCCTCCTCTCCTCCTCCTCCTCCTGCTCCTCCTCCTCCTCTCCTCCCTCCTCCTCTCCCCTCCTCCTCCTCCTCCTCTCCTCCCCCCCCCCCCTGCTCCTCTCCCCCCCCTCCCTCCCCCGCCCCCGCGGAGCCCTAGGAGGGGCCCTTGGTCGTGAACACCCCCTCTTTCTTGTACCGATGGCTGCGTCGTCCAATGAACGCAGCCAATCCCACGCCGAGGTACCGACCGACTTCAAGAAAACGCGGAAATGAACTGTTTTTATTTTTTTTTCGCAAGGATACGGACGGAATGCTGAATGATTTCCCCGCTCGGCTTCCGGAATGTGGTGGCTCAGGATGGGCCGGGGAAGGGGGAGGGGGGCATCCATTAAATTGGCTCTACTCTATATTTTATTTGTGGCTGCCCACGGCGTGTTTCGTTGAGCTGGGGTGGCTGGGCTGGTGTGGTATTGAATTGGCCCCGGAGCCTGGTCGTGGTCGTGCCATGGTTTTCTGTAGACTGATTCCGAGAGTCGTTTCCGTCGTTCTGTCTCTATCGCACCTGTACGTAGCGGCACATGAGTGCGAGAGAGACAGAGCGAAGGAAACGACCCTCGGAGTCTGCTGGTTTGCCGTTGTGGCCAAAGGCGTTGCTCGGCCCACTCCACACCAAGTCGTCCGTGTTGTCCGTCGCGTCGTGGCTCGGGGCGTGTTGGAGCGGCTCACTTTGCACTGTCTCGAAGGTGTTCGGAGTGTCTCGTCTCAATCTCATGCTGGGCTCTTTTTGTGTTGCAGATTGGCATCAACCCAGGTCTGTTCGCCGCGTACAAGGGACACCACTATGCCGGACCCGGAAACCACTTTTGTAAGTGTGCCTCACTGGATACGTCTGTTGTTTTTCGTTTTTTTTTTTTTTTTTTTTTTGTTGTAAATTTCTGACCGAAATTATCTTTAGGGAAATGCCTGTACCTGTCCGGACTGACCCCGGAGCCCATGACGGCGGATGACGACTACAAGCTGCTCAATGTAGGCATTGGCTTCACCAACATGGTGGAGAGAGCCACCAAGGGCAGCGCAGACCTCACCCGCAAAGAAATCAAGCGAGGTCAGTTTTTCGACGAGACTGCTTTATGTTCATTGTTGTCTGCTCTGGAGTTACTCCATTTTTCTATCATTTTTCCCCATTACAGGAAGTCAAGTGCTTCTGGAGAAACTTCAAAAGTTTAAGCCAAAGATTGCTGTTTTTAATGGCAAACTAATTTACGAAGTTTTCTCTGGCAAAAAGGACTTTTACTTTGGACGCCAGCCTGATTTTGTGGATGGCACAAATACCGTAAGTTGTCAGTCTTTTATTGCACATGTAATATGTTGGTGTCCTTTGCTTGACTAGGTATTTTCTTTTCTTGCAGTACATGTGGGTCATGCCCTCCTCAAGTGCTCGCTGTGCACAGCTGCCAAGAGCCGCTGATAAGGTTCCATTTTATGCTGCTTTGAAAAAGTTCAGAGATTATTTGAACGGGGTTGTATCTGACTTTGATGAAAATGAAGTCATATTCACTTCATCGAAGTTGAAACACTACTATGAACCAGAAATTAAAGATGATCTGGAGGAAGGAAGTCAAAAACAATTTGCTTACAACTACCCACCCAGAATAACCAATGGGGATGGATCTGAAGAAGTTCCTGACAACAAGGCTATGATTCCCATTGTAAAGCAAGAAGATGGGACTGTTTTGCCCCCTGATCAACCTGTTAAGAAGAAAAGAGGGCGACCGAAGAAGATCCGAACAGATGATCCCAATGACCAGCCTCCTCCGAAGAAGCCAACACCTCGGAATACTGCTCCAGTTGATCCAAATGCGCCTAAGAAGAAAAGAGGACGGCCTAAAAAGATCAAGGATGATGGTAGCAACATGCAGTCAACTCCAATATGAGTGGTGTAAATTCTCAAATCAACAGCTATACTCCTCACATGCCTATGAACGCCTGTCCACAAGGCTATAGCCCGTCTCCTTTCTCAAACCACAACCACTCTCATAACCACATGAATCACAATCAATCCATTATGCAGTATAATCAAAGTTCGTCGCAGTCTCCTCTCTCTGTGAACAACTACCACCAATCTCCGTTACCACACCATTATACTCATTCTCCGCAACCCTCCTCTTTAACTCATTCAGATTTATCGTCTGAAATAAGTGCAGCAATTTCTTCGGAACACAACCTTGGATCTCCTTCCCCGCACTCTCCGAGCCTTGGTGCACCTTCATCGGACTTCGAATCAACCACAAACTTAGGCGAGAATAGCAGTAAAAGTATACAACTTGGTGTGAAAACTGAGCAAGCTGTCAGTGACCCTCAAGCAGACTGTGGATTCCACAATATAACATCACCAAATGAAAATCAAGGGGCATCCTACCAAAATTACAACAGCTTCACCAACAGCAGTGACCATCCGTCTCATTCGCAAGGTCACTCAGGGGCTCATCGACAGCATCATCCGGGTACTCCTACACACCAGCAGCAACATGCAGTCCAACATCAGCCGCACTCAAGCTATCAGCAGTCCATCAACAGCTCAGAATACGAGCCTAAGTGCATTCAAGATGTAGCTGCCAAAAGTTTGTCAGGTTTGGAATCTCTGGTTGACCAGATTCCAAGCATTGCTGACAGTGATGGTCCAGTAGTCCCAGGAAACGAAGGTGGACCAGACCAGTATCCAGGAGGCCAGTCAGGACCTGGGGGCTCAGGCCACTATGTAGAAGAAGCTGGATACCTAACAAATTATTCGTCACACTGTGGTGCTAATGGTAGTGGAAATTCACACTACCCATCTTCAGCCTCAAGCTACTCAAATCAAGCTCCAGGCTACAATGGAGGTATAAGGATGAACTTCTCTATATCATCCCTGGCAAATAGTAGCAACAATTCAGGGAGTAGCTCTCCCACGAGTACCCATCCAAATAATGCTTTCTCTGTAAGCAACATGGCTCAGAGCTACAATGCCCCTAATTCGTACAATATGATGGGCTCAATGTCCCATGTCGACTCTCATCACATGATGAACCGTATGTATAGTAGTCCCAACGGATCAGGAAATTGTGACATGTCAATGGGCGGATCGATGGGACACTATGCTTATAACCAGTACTCATCGGGATCAGCTTCATACCCAGGATCTCCCAATACAGCTCCGTCCACACCTGGGAGCACTCCTGGAAGTGGTGGATCTGGATACTACTCACCATCTCACAGCCTACATATGCCCAGCCCGAGCTACCCGTCCCCGTACAGTTCTGGGTATGGTGGCAGCGGCAGCCCGTACTCCATGCCTGTGTACCCCAAGCCAGACGTGGATATGAGCAATTATGGAGGCAGCTCATTTTGAGGTGCTTCAAAGACAATTGAGTCCATTAGTCTGAAATGTGAGATGATGAGTGTGAATGAGTGACTGTGATTGCTGTGTAAGTATCATTGTTTCAAACTTCTCCTCCCTTTCTTATCTCTTAAACTTCATTCAAATTTTTATGTAAAAGAATTATATACTATATATTTATAAATGTAAACTTCCCATTATGTATGGAAGAGAAATGTTGAGTTCATATGAATGAAATTGTGATAAGGGAAGAATATTGGTGATGTGTAGAGCACATTGTAAGGAAGCCACTACTTTGTTCTAGTGTAGAGGCTTGCTTCAGGAGGACACTCACTTGCCCAGAATGTGGTTTGTTTTATTGTCTTCAGAGGACAATCATAACACTCACATTCTATTTCTGGCAAGCTGTGGAACCATGGCAATCATTTTAGAGCTGTCTTTTAATTAAGAGGATAAAATTCTAATAAGAGTGAGATTCCTCAGTTTTTTGTTTTGTTTTTTGAATTAAAGCAATCTGTTGTTACCAATAAGTAATAGAATTTTAGTTAAAAGTAATTTTTGAATTGTGTCAAAAATTGTATAGTTCTGTTATTATTACACTCCTAATAATGAAACATGATAATTTTAATTAAGATAAATTGTCAGCAAAGCTTGACAAACACATATATATCTTTTAAGCATTTAGTTCTTTGAGCTCAGCACATGTGTTTTGATGCAACATTATCAAACATGGATTGCTCAATACTAGCTCAGTTTGAACTGTGAGTTTAAAGTTTTCAAGCCAGATTTGGTCTGGACACAGCGTTAAAGACTGTATCGTTTAACTTTTGTTGAATCTGTTACCTGAAATAGTAATAATGTTCAGTTACAGTTATCTAAGGTTTAAGTTTATGAAAGTGGTGAGTAGGTGGAAAAAGCAATTGCGTCCCTCCTCAGGTGTGTGATATTGTTATCCCAGTGGAGGTGGCATATTCACATTGCTCTCATAGACCTGACAGCCTCATTGAAATGTGAACATGCAGGGAATTCAATTCAATTAGCATTGGTGTTGTACTTTTTGATGGTTGGCTCAATGGAAGAAGCATTTTTCTGCTTCACTGCATTGCACAAGCTTGTTACAAAGATTTTCTTGCTCTTAGGACAAGAATGACGCCCAGCCATTTCCTTGCCTGTTTTGGGGTTGCATTATTTGTTGATGTGAGGCAGTTTTTAATTCTTTGTTGCACTCAATTTATTGATTTTATGTTGTGTTTTCAAGCATTTTATCACTGAGTTTTTTTTTTTTTTTTTTCAAGATGCACTGTTTGTCTGCTTCATTTTTCATTTCCATTTTTCACATTCTTTTCTTGGTTCCTGTTCAATGCCTCCACTGAGAGACAATTTCACCACTACAGATATTAATTAAAATAAACCTGCTCAAACATATTTTTTTCAGTGCTGTGGTGATTTGTTTTACAGATTTAAAATAGGATCACTGATAATCTTTTCCATGAAGTGGGCTGTTGCATTTACTTTCTAAATGGTTGCTGGGTCATTGGGTCAAACTGACACTTGTTTTCAAACTAAATTTACTTGTTAGTGTATCATAAATTTCTGTTTTTCAGACAACATCTACTAAAGTATGTCACAATGTGTAGGATTTGATACTTGTGTCCTGACTGTTTCTTACAGTGCAGTGCTATTTATTGGCTATTGATACTTACAAACAACTTTGTTACTTATTGTCGAGGGAATGTGGAAGTTGTGGTTAGACAATTAATGTGACTGTGAAATTGGTAGATGTAAAATTTTAATTCTCCTTGAGAAGCTTCCAAGTAGCTTCAGTAATGTAATTTTCATCTCAATGTGTGTGTTTTATTCTTTGTTCTTTGTGTTGTTTTCTAAACACCTATTGATTGATTTATTATGTTCAGTTTGGCTTTTTTATAAGTTTCTTGTTGTGTAGATATTAATGTATGTTAAAGCTATTGTTGTGTGTTGTAACAACTATGGTCTTCTTTCCTCTTCTTCTCTCATTCTGTCCTTTCATTGTTTGGCAGTGACATAGCTGCACAAATGACATATATTGTGCACTCTCAAGTCCGGAAAGAGCTATCGTTCTGCAATTTTAAAAATTTTTTCTTCAGTTCTGTTTTATATTTAAAAACAGATCCCTGCCGCAGGAAATCCCTTACGCAGGAAATGATAAGCTACCTAACCATGAAAATACTTTGTTTCTAAAGTGCTTCAGTTTACCTTGAACATGTGGAATGTTTTTGGAAAATTGTGATATGTAGAGTGTTCTTATTCTAAAGGAATTTTATGTACTACTTGAATATGTTTGATGTCCTCTAAGGTGCATTGGTTGTGATCCGATTTTTGACATTGTGTATGTAAGTGCACAAACAGCTAGAATGGCAACATCTGTGGAATGACTTCCCTACTCTAGTGATTTGCTCTATTTCCATTTCTCTGTCTGTCTGTCTGTCTGTCTGTGGCCGATTCTCCCACTCCTCTTCTTTCTCTGTCTCTCTCCGGACTTGATCATTTATTGGTACTAGTAGTTCGTGGGATTAGGATGTACATTTCTCTGTATAATTTTGCCTATCAAATTGCCATATAGGACTGAAATGAACTGAATCTCTATTGTTGGTTAATATTGGGAAGACTTTGGTATTGGTTGTTGAAACAACATTATAGTTATGCAGGAAAATTGTGCCAAACATCATCTAAGGAAATTGCTTGAGTACCTTGTCATTTCACTCTCGGAAACTTTTCTGTATATTTCTGTCACTGTGAGTGTTTTCAAGCATCGTTGCTTGAGCTCCAATTTTCATCAGTTTATGAAATTAATTCTGTTCCAATTGGATTTTCATGTTTGCTTGTTATTAATGAAGCTTCATTTCACTGTTGATATCTTCAGAGAGGTGTTGCAGTATTGTGTTCTATCCTCTGATTTATTAAGGATTGTGTTAGCTCAGTATCTGTCTAATTACTGTCTTCCATGTTTGTTGATGTATTGTTTATTTCCTGCTAAGACTTCAAGTAACAGTTTTGGCATTTTCTGAACTGTGATTTTTACAACCATAGAGCCTATTAATGTAAGTTTTCTTCAAATCTGTTTGCTGTTACCTCAATCATTATGTTGCCTCAGTGACTTATATTTCATGTCATCTGGATGGATATAGTACTTGTTTCCGGCCAAGTGTTTGCTGTAAATGTTTCTAGCCTTTAGCAGCACTTCCTTCACATGGTGCTGTATTTTGACAAAATGTGACAGGTTTATTTTTAAATGATTCTGTTGATGCAGTTTCCGCAATGTCTGGTCACGTTAAACCACATGATTGGTTTGAGTACAAACTATTTCTCTTATTGCAATAACAATAACCATAATATTAATTTTAAGCTGGTGCAGGCACCCTCTGTTGATGGTCAATACTTTGTATTTGCCATGGTGTGTGTTCCTTGGCCCCTCCTCTGTTTGCAACATTAAGTGGAACCATTAACTGTACGTCCAGTGAACATGCCCAATATTTTGTTGTTTTTGAGGTCCAATACTTGTACATCCAAGTCTTTTAACGCAGAGCAATAAAAATCCTTTGCATAACATTATTTGCCATGTTGTTGTTGTGCATAGAGTTAATATCTTATCCTAAAGCTGTGGCTCATTCTGAAAACTGTTTGGCCAATTGGTACATGAAATCATTGCATTTGCCTATTGCAACACTTTTCTTGCTCATGGTACTTTGGTTTTTCCATGCAAAATGTGTTTTCTTAGTAGACTATACTTTGCAATAACTATTTCCCTCAAAGTTTAGTAATATACGATTGTTTTGTTGATCTGGAAGATTTATTGGAGGCACTGATTGCAGTTGGGTCTATGGTTGTGTTCAAATACTATTTAAATAACAGCAGCATGTTCAGTGATCCTCCAATTAAGCTTTCTCTTCAATAACTAAGCACTTGTTTTGTTGATGTTGTTGTTGGTTTGCCGTTGACTTTTAATGTGCTTCATAGTTCAATTAAATTTCAATGTAAATTCATGTAACTTGCAATACTTGTCTAAAAGTCAGGAAGTGTATTTTGTACAGAAGTGTCACTGTGGTTTACTGTTCAATTCAATAATTGTTCTCCTTTATGGTTATCTCAGCAATACTCTAGTTGCTGTTGGGTCCTTCTAATAAATGTCAGGTGCCTCACATCAATTCAATGGAAATTGTGTTGCCAGCAGGGCCAGCAGTACATACACAAAATTATTTATGAAAAGAAATTGATTGATTGTGTTTATTATTATTACTTTGTATTTGGAATACTTTGTGATTGTCAGACCCCGATGACTCTCTGTAGAGAGTCTTGTTTGCAATTACTTATGTGCATTTCTCACATGTGACAGATTTGAAGCATCACACAAATGTCACACTCCATTAAGATACGATGTTGTTTTGTTTTGTGTCCACAAAGGCTTCTCTAAATGTTGAATATTGGATTGTTCCCCCATTAATTTAAATTTTATGTTAAACATTGTGTTGTTTTTTTTTTGGTTGTTCTTTTCATTTGTGTTGGTATTTCTTATTTTACTATTACTGTTACATTATTTGAAAAACTTCTCCTTGAATTAGTGAAGATTTCAGTGTGATTTTGAAATTTTGAAGACCAGCTGATTGTCAAATATTTGGTTGTCAGAAAAGGCCACGAACTGTCCACTTGCATAGTTAAATTTTGGTTTGTCAAAGTACAACAATTTTAATATTTTTATTTCTGAGAGTTCTAAAGGATGTATATGAATTTTTGTGTAGATGACATCAAATCTCATTTTAGAAATAACATTACTTATCTGTTCTCTAATATACTGAATATTTTTCATGCCATTGCAATCAAGTTGCAACGTTTTAATGCAATATTTAAGATAAAATACTTTTTTACTGTGTAAAGAAGACGTTCATAAGTTTATTGTTTCTGCTCGTGTTTGAGAATCACTGTCTTACAAAATAATGTTGCATGTCACTCTAGATACATTAATTCTTTCCATGTTGCTGTGTACAACCTCAGCTCACAGGTTTTGCAGTTTTAATAATGAATCTGTGTATATCAAAATGGCTCAAATACCTCACTTGTGTTTAAAATAAATCTTTTACATCAATGTCACATATTGTCTTATTCATTCAACCCTTGAATTGATTGACCCTTGATGACGACACTGAGTGGGGAGCAATCCAGAGATAAGCCCACAGTTATGGCAACAACATCAACAACTCATGTCAACAAAAGTAATGCCCATCTCGTTCTTACACTGTAAACAAGGGAGAAAAAAGAAAAAAAAATGTGGTCCAGAATTTTTTATTGGAATCAACTTGAAATAATGAAAGGCCTCAGCTCCAAAACACAGGCTTTCTTCGAATTTGCTCAAGACCTCATCTGACTCACAACAATTTACGCCCACGCAACCCACTTTGCTCCACGTCTCTGTCCCAATCAGACTTACTCAATGCCTTTCGAGAGGCATATCAAAACAAACAACACTCTCTGCTGCTGCTCTGCTGCAGGCGACAGAGGGAAGGGAGACTGGTGGGTCCGGAATATTTCTTCGGACCTTTGCCGCGCCAACGAAACACCCTCACCGGAGCTTTCCATGAAGCCACCCCATCTCCAAAGACAGCATAGCATACCACCGGCTGATAACAACGATTCCACCCCGGCCGTCTTCCCGGCGCATTCAAACGCGAGGCGGGAGCATGCGCGAAGCTGCCAACGTTGACATTTCCACGACGAGGAGTACTCCTTAGTTTAGGATGTTGCCGGGCACCCGCGAACCGCGATCGAGTTTGACTCTAAAATTCCTCTCTAATACCGTAGAGAAGGCTCTCTTGTTTCCTTGCCTTCCTCGTCCCAAAGAAAGCCGCGCGTGTGTGTTTGTTGGCTTGCCCGAGTTTGAGCGTGACGTGGGAAAAGTGGGAGGGGGTGGGGGAAGGGGGCAGAGGGGCGGGGAGGTTATCGCCGCCCAAGGCAAGCGGCTTTCTCGTCCGGCTGCCCATCCCACTTCTAGTGCCGTGCCTGCCGGTCGCTGTCTACGTTGTCATTTCAACACCAGTTTAGTAACCGAAAGCTGCTCGTCGCTCAGTAGTTTCTGTGATTCCCTACGTGACGGAAGCAACTTTCACCATGGCCAAAATCAAGGGTAAGTTTCTGTAGTATTCGTCCAGGTTAAGTGATGAGCTCTCTCGTTTTACAGACTTTCCTTACATAATTCATTTTGAATCTGATGGACACTGTTGTTTGCTTACTGTCCTTTCGTCTTTGTGAAATATCACTTTGGTTTCGAAATTAAGAATGTACTGAACTCGATTTGATTAATGTAAGCAAGTCACTTTCTAAAAAGGAGATTCTTGTTTGTGAGAAGAAAAGGCTACTCTTGCTTGTGAAAATGCCAACTCATGCTTGTAGGATGTGGCTGGCTTCTTATCCCTGTTACTAAGGTGTTCTTTATCTTAGCAAGTGCGTGGATCATAACAGCTGTATTTCTTTTACTCCCACTAGCACCCGCCTCCTTCACTTAGATTAAAAATAAATGAGAACACCAAGCTGTCATCATTGTTTCTAGGCCCAAATTTAAATTGTTGTTATTTCCACCATGAATAAATTTACCTGCTAAGATAGTGTTGATTATCTTTTATTATTCTTGTTTCCAGCGGGAGCTGTGGTAGACATTCTCGGAGATGAAATGACCAGGTACGTTAATTTTTGGACTTCGATCAAAGTAAATTCAATGCAAATATCTTCAAATGACCTCTTTAAAATTATCATTTGAACCTCTGCTGTACTGCTGATACATCTAATGAATATTCAGTGCCCTTGAGGCCTGCCTCAGACATTCACTGACCCCTAAAGACAATTTCACCCTTGGTATCAAAACAAAAAACAACAGCAAAAACTAAACAAAAAATCTATTAAAACATGGATAGTTTAATTTTTACAACTGTAATGTTTGTTGGTTACAAAGCCTAATTCTTGTTGCATTTCAGGATTATTTGGGACCTGATCAAGGAGAAGCTGATCTTGCCCTTCCTGGACATTGAACTCCACACTTATGATCTGGGCATCGAGCACAGAGATAAGACAAACGATCAGGTTACTATTGACTGTGCTGAAGCTATCAAGAAGATCAATGTGGGAATTAAGTGTGCAACAATTACTCCTGATGAAAACCGTGTTACTGGTAAGTTTATTAAAATCTCTTTCTCACTGAAAAGAAATAAGAAAATGTCCAATAAAATTCTAATCCAGTGAGAGTCTGGAGAGTCAATCCTCTTTTCCCACTCTGATGGCTTGCTCCGTCCTTACAATATTTTTTCTTATCTTAAATCTATGATTCCAGAATTCAACCTAAAAGAGATGTGGAAGTCACCCAATGGCACAATTCGTAACATTTTGGGTGGCACTGTGTTCAGGGAGCCCATTATTTGCAAGAACGTTCCTCGCTTGGTTCCTGGCTGGACCAAGCCTATTATTATTGGACGTCATGCTCATGGAGATCAGGTAATTTACTATTTGGTGAATCAATTTAAAAAATAAAAACAATAAAAAGTCTATGAATATTGGAGGTGGCCGAATTCGGGCAGTTTAAGAGCTGTTCAGGATAGAGGGAAAAACCCATCTCAAAGCAATACTAACTCTTTTTTCTTTTCCCTTCCTCCCCAGTACAAGGCCACTGACTTCCTTGTTCCTGGAGCAGGCACCCTGACTCTTACATTCACCCCTTCAAGCGGGGGACAGCCCATTTCAGTGGCAGTCAATGAATTCAAGAGTTCAGGTGTTGCCATGGGAATGTACAATACTGATGAGTCCATCAGGTAAGTTTTTGAACTTCAATTGAAAACTTGCTTAGAGTATTTATTTTTTCACCCTCACATTTTATTACTTTTGCAGAGGTTTTGCTCACTCTTCAATGCAGTATGCTCTCCAGCGAGAGTATCCTCTGTACTTGAGTACCAAAAACACAATCCTTAAGAGATACGACGGTCGTTTCAAGGATATCTTCCAGGAGATCTATGACAAGTATGAAAGACAAAAAATAAAGTCCAAACAACTCAGTTACAGCACTCTGTACCTAATCAATAATAAATTGTATTTTCTAGGGAATACAAAGCTCAATTTGAGGCCAAGAAAATCTGGTATGAGCACCGATTGATTGATGATATGGTGGCGTTTGCCATGAAGACTGATGGTGGCTTTGTTTGGGCCTGCAAAAATTATGATGGTGACGTTCAGTCTGACTCAGTTGCCCAGGGTTATGGTTCATTGGGAATGATGACATCTGTGTTGGTATGTCCTGATGGCAAGACAGTAGAAGCTGAGGCTGCCCATGGCACTGTCACCAGACATTACCGTATGCACCAGCAGGGCAAGGAGACATCCACCAACCCTATCGGTAAGGGTTGATTTTAAAATTAGGGGTACAATCGTCCTTGTTGTAGTTTTCCAATCAGGTATCATTTGTGTGACTGCGAAATGTGTTTGTTACAGCTTCTATCTATGCATGGACAAGAGGCCTCTTGCACAGGGCAAAGTTGGACAACAACGCCGACTTGCGCAAATTCGCAGAGAGCTTGGAAGAAGTGTGTGTCAGCACCATTGAAGCTGGATTTATGACCAAGGATTTGGCTATCTGTGCCAAGGGTGCTAAGTAAGTAATAGTTTTCCATTTATTTTATTTTTGTGCTAAAAGGTGAATTTGTGCTTACCAATTTCTCACTTTGTAGTGTTCAACGCTCTGACTACTTAAACACCTTTGAGTTCCTGGACAAGCTTGCCGAAAATCTGAGAAAGAAACTTTCGTGACTATCTCAAAAATCTGTGCTAAAGCATAAAATGTAACAGACATAACTTCATCGTCACTGTTCTACTCGCCCATTCTACTTTTCTATTTCCCACTGATTTTAGAGGCTTTTTTGATAGATATGCTGAAAGAGGCTCATACTGTTGTACGTATTATTTACTTTTATTACTGGTGTATGTTTCTTTTTAATAAAATCTGTTCTTGTTAGAATTGTTTTTACTTTGTTTTCCTATCTAAAACCACGTCTTCCCTGTGACGTGTCAAAGCGGGGGTCTACCTTCCGGGCGCTGTGCCACAGAAGGGATAAGGAAAAGAACAACCACCCACAGACGTGGCACACAGACATTTACGGGGGGGGGAGGGGCGCAGGCGGGGTAGCTTTTTTGCCCGGTGTTTCGGAGCGGGTGGGGCACTGGGGTTCACCTACCCGGGACTTAATTTCTACTGCACCGCTGCTCTCCTGGAGGGGCATGGGGCACTCCGGTCAAACTTCGACTGGGTGAGAACCTCTTTCACCTTCGGGGGTGGGGCCGGGTTCAGAGAACCCTTCATATTTGCGCACCGCTGCCTGGTAGCACGTGTAAGGGTCGGCACCCTTGTCGGCTAGCGGCTCTGCCGGGTATAAGGGGAGCACACACGCTTGCCAGGTAGGTGGCCTACCTTGGCGGCGCTGCTCTGTGTAGGGCTGGCTAGCTTTACCTCTACGATGCAAAAGAGTTCCCGCCGTCGGCTCCCACCCCCCCTACCCCCCCTCCCAGAAGGAGGGGGAAGTAGGGGCAATCATAAAGGGTTAGTAACCTGACCTGGCTGGTAGCGAACCAGGTCCAACGGGAATTGTGCTGCCGCATGGCCTCCAACGGCCCATCGCTCTGCCACCTGAGCTACGACAGCACACCTATCTGTGCCACGTCCTATCTTAGAGTGATGGTACCGGGTTTGAGAAGTAAACTGAGGAAAAGATGCGCTCCACCTGGGTGTTGAACCCAGGCCTCCTCCTGCCAGCCGACACCTCAACCATCTCAGCCACCCTGCCACTGACAGTAAACACGTCCTATCTTAGAGTCATGATACCGAGTTTGAGAAGTAAACTGAGGAAAAGATTCACTCCCCTGGGACTCGAACCCAGGACTGCCTCCCGTCCGCCGGCAGCTCTACCACCTCAGCCACCGAACAACTGCCCAGCACTGCGATCAATCTTAGAATGATGGTACCAGGTTTGAGAAGTGGGCTGAGGAAAATGTTCACTCACCTGGGAGTTGAACCCAGGACTTCACCCTGCCAGCCGACGTCTCTACCAGCTCAGCCACCCAACCACTGCTCAGCTGTGCGATCAATCTTAGAATGATGGTACCGGGTTTAAGATGTTAACACTCTGTGGCTCTCGGTCACTCTCAGTCCGCCCAAACTTAGACTTGAGGAAAATGACTTCGTCCCGGGGACGCCAATCGAGGTCCTCAATCGAGGAGGCCGCTGCCGCTGCTCAGAGTCATACTGGGACACACTGAGATCATGTGCCCAAAACTTAGACTGACGGTCTAGGCTTGAGAAGTTAACCGAGGAAAACGTTCTCACTGGGGAGTCGAACCCAGGCTTCTTTACAGGCTCGGTCTACCTCGCACTGAGCTTCAATCAACCATTGTGGGATCACCTTAACTTTTCTAACTTTAGCCGTATACGAGATTCAGAAATAACGTTAATTGCCAAAGGTGAAATGTTAGCGCACTCTGCGTGCTGCTGGACACTGATCAATCTCAGAGTGGTTCTCGGTGGTATGCTGTTCCATATTTTCCTTTAGTTTTCTGACATTTTGATGCGATGAAGTATGTGGGACCCGGCAGTAAATTATTTTGACAATGTCATGTAATCAATATACTTCTTTATTAGAAATCTTACAAACATCATATTTTGTCTGTTGAACAAAGTACAGTACAGTTATCACATAGCTATGTTCTCTAATGCCTGAAGACTTCCAATGTTCCATGGAATATAAGTAATTTTTAACATTGGTGAAAAAAAAAAAAAAAAAAAAGAACAATAAACAAATTGAAAAAACAAATTTAAAAGAGGCCAGATATACAATTTGTTACCCTATTATAAATTAGATCTAGTATAGTCATTTTTGTTTTCATAAATATACATCTATAGTGTATTAAAAATAAAAATTCAGTAAAATACCAGCCGATTGGATGGTACCAACAGGTTGGGACTTGGATGGTTGAGTGATATGCCGCGCTAGTGGGCTGCCGGCAGACTGAGCGCGACGCAAGTCCCTTTCCATATCACACAGCCACAAGCCACAAGACACTTACATCAATAAAATTGGAAAAAGTCAAAAGATTACAACTTTATATCAGATGAGACATTGAACATAATATTTTTGACCAGTTGACATCTCATTTCATACTTCCTTTCACAGCTTGACTTTGTGACATACAAGATTTTCCAAGCAGAAACAAATTGCAGCAGATTCATGGTGCAACAAGAGGCAAGGACCTGGGTGGACATTGCTTTAAAGAGTTTCTTAAACTTCAAATGCGAGAAGGGAGGAATCCACTTACAAGTAAACACACATTCACAAGGACAATTTAAATATTTGACAATCATTGAGTAACAAGAATATTTTGATAAGGTCAATAAATATGTACCATGCAACAAATGTCTGCAAAAGCTATAAAGTAATACAGCAGAGCTTCGACTATTTGTAATGAATCGGGAACGTTGTCAAGCTCATAGTTCATTTTCATTTCATACTTTCATATATACCAAGAATGTTTTGATATTAAGTCCTGAGTAAGATGTGATCACAAATGTAGAAACAGTTCATACATTCCTAATTTTAACAGCATCAGTACGTTTTGAGATTAGGTGTTGCTAAAAGCATCACATCAATCTCAAAACTTAGTACTAAAAATGTTAAACAGAAAAAATAAAGGACAACCTTTTATAAGTTAATTTTGAACATCATATACACCATGCGTAGAATTTATGTGGCAATCTAAACAGATTAAATCAGCCAAAGCAATGGCTTCTGAGCACTTTTAAAAGTAGCCACAAATAAAGTCGTGTTTTAGAGGTGATAATAACCAGCACAAGCTATTACCATTTTAAGGCTTTTGAGCAGTCAAAATTTGGCCCTTTTTATGGGTTAATACAAAGAAAGTGGGACTAGCAATCCGGTTGTCTAGGCACCGGGGAGACCACCACTATATTTTAACTGCAAAAAAAAGACCATATTTTGCCACTTTAATACAAGACAATAAGTGACAAGATAGAACAAAAATTTACTTTGTAAATACATAGTTTTTTTAAAAGACGTATAAACTGGATACTATGATTCAGCCTCCCTACAAATTAAAAATACGGGTAGATTGACCAAAACAGTACACTTAAGAAGACAGGTAAGTTAGTAGCAAAACATTCGGCCATATTAAAAAAAGTCACACAGAAGCGAAAATATCAAATTCATACATCTAGGACTACAAAATTGAAGCAGGTTTGTATCACTCAACCTTTTCTTGCACCTTCTGTTAACACTATTCAATAATAACTGATTCTGACTCTGCATTTTTTTCTTGCTTGGTATAAAAATTTTAAATCAGAATTTCTAGATTGTAACATTCATTCATATTCATACCGCTAAAACATATATTTACCAGTCATACACTTTCATACACCACATACTTCCACACACCACTTACTAGAATTCTCCTTCTCATGTTTCAGACACCCAAACACACATACACTAGCATGTCACTGCACAGACACACAGCCAGTATATCGGTGGATCTCTTCCTTAATCATCAAATATTGATCATATTTGTACAAAAGCTAACTAGTGGCATTAATATCATGCCATTAAATCCATTATCACAGACATCTGTAGTTCTTCATCTTGCACACCTCCGAGTACGTATTTTGATGTCTCTTCAGCAGCTTGCCACTACACATCCAATGTGAGAGGGAAAATGTCACAATGTGTTGCACATTTAATTCAACGCAGTTGAGAATGTCAAGACACCAAGGAAACAACACTTCCTTGAATAAAAAGCTGCACTGATAGCACTAAATGACTACACAGAGTGAACTCTGACAATAGAATAATAATGTTTCTGTTTTTCTTCTTAGATCAATAGCAGCTTACTTTCATAATTTGGCAAAATTGCACACAAGCAACATTTCTTCAAGATTTCTTATATTCTTGACTTCCAAAAGATGTTAATGGCAAAGCACTGATGGCAGTGTTTGGATATATGAGTACCACACAGGGGGAACTCATCAGTTTTGCAAGAGTGGCAGGTTGTCCTTAGATTCAGGCAACCTTGCAGTGCTGAAGCCAATTACACAGAAAATTCAATAAAAGTTTTTTGCATTAACAGGATATTGCAAAGTTGTCTTCAGAACTTCATTATGCTCTTCAAGTGAGCTTGTGGCATAATGCAAAACTAGTGCCTTAAGAGAGCTGTGAATGTTGAAAGGCTCAGCAAAACCATATCCTTTCTCTGTGTGAGAAATGATGCAGTGGTTTGTTGTTCCTTTACACCTGAAAATTGCACAAAGATAAATAAATAAGACCATGAACACTGAAATTTAAGATAAAGAGGCATCCTGCTTTTAGTTCAAAGATGAATAAACTTACTGGATGGAAAGGGCATATTTGTTTGAAGTTGAGGACTGACGAATAAGGAAAGTACCATCGGGGCGACCCGCTAGCATGCGATCCGCTTCCGTGCGAGTGCACTTCGGCAAGTACCATGTCTTCTCATCATGATGCGGCCATCCGTCAGTGTCCGGGAGCACAGCAGCTTCGTTGCCGAGATAGCGTTGCAGACGCTGGTTCCCAATGCCCAAAACTCGCAGGCGTGATACGAGCTTGTTGTTGGTTTGTACCAAAATTGTAATTTCTGATCGCAGACTGGTCATCTCTCGATCAAGAGTCCGGTTGTATGTTTTTTGCTGGGTGAGATTGTGCTCTAGTTGAGTTTTGCTGTCTTCCAGTGACTTCAGACGTTGTTTCAGAACGTCCACATTATCCATCAACCTACAATCAAAAATAATAAGTCAAGTGTCAAGTAAAATAATACTCAAACAAAGAAGTTGTGATGAAATGTGGGAGGGCAGATAGGCCACATAGAGCAAAAATACTAACCCTTTGACTTCATGAGGTTGTGCTTCTCTCTGGAACTTTTCTTGGGTTTTAATCTGTTCTCTAAACAAGTTGATAGCTTCTCCAAACGCTTCTAATGATTGTTGTTTGATTGTAATCTCTTGAGATGATTTCTTAAAATCATCCTGAATTCTATGATACTGACTTGATTTATCTTCGAGAACTTTTTGAGTCTCTCTGAGTTTTTCTCCTAGCTTTTCTATGTCCACAGTGCCCATCCCATCATCCTCCTGTTAACAAAACAAAGTAAAGTTAATTAAGACAAAAATTAACTCATAAACCAAAGTTCTAGGATGATTATTAGTATCCTTACCTGCTGGAATCGAGAAACAGGATATCTCAATTTGATATCTAACGTTGGATTACAATGTAGTAGAGAGTTTGATTTATAGTAATTGATGAGCTCTGGGACTGAACTAAATTTAAATGGGTCTGAGAAACCATAGCGGCCATTCCTACTGCAAATCTTGATAAGTTTGTTTGTGCCATCCTTCCTCAATGTGAGAGTGTATTCGCCACTTTTATTAGAAGCATCACGCACAAGGTATGTGCCATCTGGAGTGTCCATCAACTTGTCGCTAACATCCTCCCTGTAAAAACAGAACCATGGTTTAGTTGCAACCTTCACTCGGGGTAGCAGCACACAGTGGGCCAGAAACCGGCGGAGGCGGCCAAAATTCGAGACGCGTTTTGAGCTCCAGAGTCGCTAAATGGGACTCGAACCAACCGTGTGACCCCACCAATGGATTGCTCTCAGGACGAGGAATCCATTGGTGGGGTCAAACGTTCGGTTCCAGTCCTGTTCACCGACTCTGGAGCTAAAAACGCGTCTGGAGTTTTGGTCGCCTCCACTGGTCTTCTGGCCCACTGTGCAACACATGCGTGTGTGGCGCTGGGGCACTCACCGAGAAATGTCCCCCCAGTACCACTCGGACTCCTCCAGCGACGGCAGTTCGGGAGGCGCCTTCTCGGCCTCGTGTTCGGCGAGCGGTGTGCCGGGCGGGCCGGGCGCCGGCGACCCCGGGAACCCTGGGGTGCCTGGGCCGCCTGGGCCGCCACCAGACCGTGACAGCTTCCTTGGGGGCAGCGCGGGCGCCCTGGCGAACTCGGGCAGCACCTCTCCCCAAGGCCCGTGCATCAACAGCAGCTCCGTTATTCTGATGTGAGCCTCCGCGTTGTAAACAACTTGTCTGCCAAGCAAGAAACGTCACACAAGTCAGCACTGCACTCCTTCTTCCTCTAAATCGTCCAAGGTGAAAAACGAGGCCGGACTTACATGATGCGCTCCCAAGGCGGCCGGATCAGCACATGGCACAGAGATTGGATGAGGACGGTGGGGGGCTCGTGGTGGCCGCGGGCGTGCTGCTTCTGGCACATCCTCACCAGGTGGCCCATGAGGTACGACAGCGTGGCGCGGTGGTGCAGCGGCAGGTCCTCCACGAGCTTCAGCAGGCGCTGGGTGCACTGCTCGTCGTTGCGGATCCGCGACGCGTCGATGAAGCGGTCGTACCACATGATGGGGATCACCTGGTCGGGCAGCTCCCTCAGGTACTTGTGCAGCACGCAGGCCACCACGCTGGGCTCGTACGAGCAGAGTTTCAGGTGGTTCCAGTCGCCTGCAAAGAAGGGGCGGGGCGGTTAGAGCACAGCCACGAGGAGCCAGAGGTCTCACTCAGCTCGTCGCTCTCCCTCTCTCGCACCCCTGCGGGGCGCCCCACAGTGGGCCAGAAGACCAATGGAGGCGGCCGAAACTCTGGAGGCGTTTAGAGCTCCAGGTCACTAAACAGTACCCGAACCAAGCGTGTGACCCCACCAATGGATTCCTCGTTCGGAAAGCAATCCATTAGAGGGGTCACACGTTCAGTTCGAGTCCCATTTAGCGACTCTGGAGCCCAAAACGCGTCCGGGATTTTGCCCGACTCCCCTGGTATTCTGGCCCACTCTGCGCCAATGGGTGCGAGAGAGACGGAAGCAGGGACGTCCACTCTCAAGTCCAGCCTACCTTCATTGAGGCGGCTGACGAGGGAGCCCATGCGCTCCGGGGGCGGCGTGGACCGGTACTGCTTGTACAGGTTGAGGGACTGGTCGTTGATGGCGTGCGTCTCCAGGGCCTGCACGCAGAGCTGCACCAGCCGGGGCGCGGGCTGCTCGCGGGGGTCGAACTCGGAGCACAGGGCCACCCCGAAGGCGGGGCTGGCGGGCACCCTCTGCAGCTGGCCCGCCCTGGGCACGCACGGCTGGAGGCCGGTGGCTGAACACGTCCGGTGGGCGACGAGCCCGCAGTCTGCAAGAGCACAACAACGTCAGAATCATTCACCGAGCCTCAGCCGCCTCAGCCGCCTCAGCCTTGCACAGTGGGCCAGAAGACTGGGTGGTCAAAATCCCGGATGGGCTTTGAAGCTCCTGAGTCGCTAAATGGGAGTCGAACCGAACGTGTGACCCCACCAATGGATTCCTCGTTCAGAGGGCAATCCATTGGTGGGGTCACACGTTCAGTTCGAGTGCTGCTTAGCGACTCTGCAGCTCAAAACACGTTTGGAGTTTCGGCCGCCTCCACCTGTCTTCTGGCCCACTGTGCATCGGCCAAACCTCTCAATCGGAATCGTCTCTTACCATGGCAGATGAGTCCCTGGTGCTGGAGCCCTCTCAGGAATTTATCACACTTATCACAACGTTGCAACTCGGAGAAACTGTACAGCCGCATGTTATGAGTGTTTGCGGTATCACAGGAGTTGTCGTCCGGTTCGTACGGGACGGGGCAGTGCTGGAGCTCCTCGACGCAGACTAAGATGGCTTTTTGATGGAATTCGTCCTTGACACCCATGTTCTGAAAGGGAGAGAGAGACAAGGGTAATGAGACCACGGCACGACACGCTTCCCGCATTAAAAATATTAATAAGATAAAAATTGCGTGTCAAGCAAAAAAGGGGCGGTTTTACGCTGTCGGTTTATGACGTCTTTTCATTGCTCTTTTAATGCAAAATGTCAAGATACCGCTATCTTAATCTTCCGCATAAAGTTAGATAAGATGGCGAATAAAACCACCACATATGTAGTTCCTAAACCGCGACACGCAGATAGGAGGCGAAATCCCTGACCGCACCGCCCAGCGACGGAGACGGGCAGCCCGGAAGGGCCGGGCCGGGACTTACCAGTAACTTGTCCTTGTCCAAATGCAGCAGGTCGGCTCCCTTCACGTCTTTCGACTTGAAGACGTCCACGTAATTGTACATATTCAGAGCCGCCATCCACTCCACCACGTTGGCGGACGTCCATTCCGAGATGCGCTGCAGACAGACAGAGACAGACAGCCAATTAGCGACAGAGTGCGTGCATCCTCCTTCCTCCTCCCTCGCATCGCCGTGCATCGCCGTGCATTCCGTCCAAACTTGCCCCGTCTCGCTGAAAGTGAAAGGGGGAGGGGCGCGGAGGGGTGGCGGCGGCAGCCAGTGGGTGGCGCCGAGCTAGGCCGGGCTAGGGGCGGACTAGGCAGCCCCTGGCAGGCCCCAGCCAGCCAGCCAGCCAGCCAGCAACAGGAACAGTTGACTTTCATGTGTTCGATAATGTCCCGGAGCCGCGCGCTGGAGACTGGAGCTCGCTGGAGAAGCCAGCAGCGACGGCAGGCAGGGCTCGGGCTCACGTCACCAGAGCCGCAGCCTCCGCATCACCAGCCAACGCGGTTTTTTCAGCCCCCCCCCCCCCCCTTTTCGTCCTTCAGAGTCCCTTCTCCCCGTGACCTGCATTACACTACGAGCCCTTCCAGACGCCGCAGCGACACACCAGGGCTCACCCCGGTTTCCTGTTTTAGTTTTTCGTTTGACCCTGACTTTTCCCTGCTTCCTCTTTAGACCAACTTTACGAATTTTCCCAGACCGACACCGAATTTCCCTCACTTCCAGTGGCTCCCTAGTTTGCCCAGCCTTCTCCCTGACCGGCGTGAACCCTGCAAGCAGTCCGCCCTGCAGATAGGGCGTTCAACAGTCCCTAGCCTCGCGACGGCCCGCCGCTACCCCTTGGGGGGCCCCTGCCCCTGCACCGTAAAAACGCAGTCGCACCTTGCACCGCGCCCTCCCCGCAGGGCCGACACCTGCAATGCAGTTTCTCGCAACGAGTCTCCGGCAATTAGAGCGCGGGGGGTGAGGGGGAGGGGGTGGGGGCGCGCTCCCGCCGGGCCGGGGGCGGCCGGGGGAGGCTTCCGTGGGGGTTGTTCGGCTGGGGGTGGCTCGGCTCGGCTCGGCCCGCTCTGGCACGAGGCGCACGAGGTGCACGAGGCCGCTCGGGCCGCGCTCGGCTTGCTCGGCCCGACTGCCAGCACTGCCAGCCATGCTGCCAGCCCAGCAACAAAGTCTCACTATCTCGACCCAAAAGCTGGCCGCGCTGCCATTGGCCGTCGGATCAGCGAATGGGAGGGGAGGCCAGGCCGTCGGCTGGCGCGGCTCGCCACGGCCCGCCAAGCCCGCCGCGGCAGCGCGCCCCGCAGACTGATTCCGAGGAGTCTCTGCCTCTCTCCCTCTCTCCCGCGCCGCTGGGGCGTACCGCTGGGGCGTACCGCTGGGGCGTACCGCTGGGGCGTACCGCTGGGGCGTACCGCTGGGGCGTACCGCTGGGGCGTACCGCTGGGGCGTACCGCTGGGGCGTACCGCTGGGGCGTACCGCTGGGGCGTACCGCTGGGGCGTACCGCTGGGGCGTACCGCTGGGGCGTACCGCTGGGGCGTACCGCTGGGGCGTACCGCGCGGCCGCGAGAGAGACGGAGCGACCCGACGACTCGCGGCGGCGCGGCACAGCGAGAGGCACAACCGCGGCCGGCGCACAGCCACGGCACAGCACAGCGCGGGCCTCGCTGGCGTCCTGGCGGTGTAGGCGCTACTCGCTGAGTGCTCACTTGGCACGTGCAGAGCAAAGCCAAGCAAAGCCAACCAAAGCCAGGTCAAATAGAAGTCATCAATGACATGGCAGCGTGGCCCAGAGCCTCCAGAGGGCCTCGTGGACGCGCGTCGTGCCGCGGGGGTACCCGCCGAGGCGGTGTCGCGTGCGTGCGTGCGCGCACGGGAGGGGGGGGGGGGAGAGAGAGTGGACACGCCCCCCCGGGCTAGCTGTTGCTGCCCCGAGCCCCGCGGCGGCCCCGCGCCGACACTCTTTTCGCATTATGCCGCTTCGTCTATGAGCCACCGCGGCCCGGCACGGCAGGGCACGGCACGGCACTGCCACCCCGGCAGAGCGAATGGGGGCAGCGCCGCACTCCCTGAGCCCTCCCTGGGCTCTCCCTGGCCCCGGCCACCACCACGGGGCGGGCCGGGCGGGCACGCGAGACCAACAAGTTTCATTTCTATTCCGCACGCGGCACGCGGCGTCGTGTAAAAGTGAATAAATCTGACGGACGGACAGACAGACAGCACCACACACACACACACAGACAGACAGACGGACAGACACGCACACCTGTAGTGGCGCCTGCACCTGTGCCAACGTCTCGGCCGGTCAGCGACCCCGCGCGGCCTGCACTCATCAACGTCATTGGACAATGACAGACACACGGCGCAGCGCGGCGCGGTGCGGTGCAGCCTATCAGCGGCGCGCGGTCGTCTGTCCGGCAGCGCCACTGTGGCAGCCACGACCTGAATCGGACGAAATGGAAAGCCCACGTGTGTGTGTGTGTGTGTCCGTGCACACACACACACACACACACACACACACACACACACACAAACACACACTCACAGCGACAAAAAAAGCTCACACTTATCATCATCATCAACAACGCGCCCCCCCTCCCCCCCTCGCAATCAATAGCTCACCGCGCGGCACTGCACCGAGCAGGCGAAGCAGGCGTGTTTCAGCCACTTGTCAGTTTGACAAGGCGCCCCGCCCCGCCCCGCCCCCGCTGCACCACATCCCCGTCGTGGCCGCGCTCGCGAAGAGTGAGAGGGAGAGAGAGAGGGGGGGGGGGGCAGGGGAGGGGAGGGGAGGGAGGGGAAGGGGAAGTGCGCGACGGCCAGTTTTAAATCGTTCAGCACGGAAGGGCCGACAGCGCGAGGAGCGCGAGCCGTCCCGTGTACAGGTTTCCTACTCGCTAAAAAAAAAAACACAACGCGAGCTCTCCGTTGGCCGCGTCGCGCGCGACCCACCCGCAAAAAAAAACAACTCACTCTCGTCGTGGCGCAGTATTTGAACCCGGGTCCGTAAAAGCGAGGTCGCGACCAGAAGGGTCCCGGCCGGCCGCCACCCCTCGACGTGCCCCGCGGCCCGCGGGCCCCCCACGGCAGCGCGATTCTGGGCGAGCCATGTGCGCGGACACACGGACACGGCGCCGAAGCAAGGTCAAACGCTCTCTAGCACGCGCACGCACACAGACACACACAAACACACATACACACACGCGCGCGCGCGCTCGCACTCACACGAACACACACACACACCTGGAGCAGCCGCGGCGTAGCCCAGAGTGCAGCCCCACCATCTTCCGCGGAGACGCGAGGCAGCACTGGCCGCGGCCGCGTGAACGTCAGAACGAACGAGGGGGCTTTGGAGGGGGGAGGGGGGGACTAGACAGACGAGATGGCCGTAGGACACTGGCCAATGGATGTCGTCCCGCCTGCCGGCCTGTCGTATGCAAATGCGGAGCCATCTGGAACTCGACGGAGTACGGCGACACGGCAGCGCCGAGCAGCGCGGACGTACTGCCGCCTTTTTCCTTTTGCTCCAAGCCTTGCATAATGCCCACCGACCGACTCCGCCACCGCCTCGTCCCGAGGGATCGTTCCGTCGCTCTGTCCTTGTCGCACTCACGGGGCGCGCCGACGGGGTGCGAGAGAGACAGGCGGCCGGAATCGGGGCCGGCAGACGGCACACAGTGGGCCAGAAGACCGGTGGAGGCGGTCAGAGCCCGGACGCGTTTTGAGCTCCAGGGTTCGCTATATGGGACTCGAACCGAACGTGTGACCCCATCAATGGATTGCTTTCCGAACGAGGAATCCATTGGTGGGGTCCCACGTTCGGTTCCGAGTCATGTTTAGCGCGACTCTGGAGCTCAAAACGCGTCTAGGGTTTTGACCGCCTCCACCGGTCTCCTGGCCCACTGTGCCGCAGGGCGGCCTGGGTCATGCCACGCCGGTGCATACGCCACGCCGGTGCGCCGGTCCCCGGGAGGCGCGAGAGGTACACCGCGACACCGCGACGGCACGGGTGACTGGCCGCTATCTTGGCCGCGTCGCGTCGCCGTCCCGGCCATCCCGGCCCGTCCCGGCCGCCGAGCCGTCTGCGGTGCGGAGCGAGGAGCGACAGCGGCGACCGCGCGGAGCTTCCCTTCCCCGCGCTGCCGCGCTGCCGCCGTGCCGCGGTTCCCCGAAGCCAGCGAGTCAGAGCACCGAGCGCCCTTGGAGGAGTTTCCTCGATGAGCGACAACGGCCCAGGTGGCAGCGCCGCACTCCCTGCGGCGACCCACCGTGAATGCGAGAGGGACAGAGCGTCCGCGCCGCCTGTCAGTGCTCATGTACTACTGCGTGTGGAACAGGATCAACGTCGCCGAGGAGCCGAGAAGCGCCCCGAGCGCGAACACGAACAGGACGAGCACGGCGCTGCGTGGGCCCCTCGCACGCACGCACGCGGCGGCCCACAGTGGGCCAGAAGGCCGGTGGAGGCGGCCAAAACTCTAGACGCGATTTGTGCTCCAGAGTTGCCGAATGGGACTCGAATCGAACGTGTGACCCCACCAATGGATTCCTCGTTCGGAGAGCAATCCATTGGTGGGGTCACACGTTCGGTTCGAGGCCCATTTAGCGACTCTGGAGCTCAAAACGCGTCTAGAGTTTTGGCCGCCTCCACCGGTCTTCTGGCCCACTGTGCGGCCGCGGCGACAGGGAGGACCTCCGCAAGGCTGCGGCATGCATGGCCCGGGTCGTTCGGCCGTTGGTCCCCAGCAGGCCCATTCCCAGAGTGGTCTACCCGCTCCGTCTCTCTCGCACTCACGAGGCGCGCCGTATGGGTGCGAGCGAGACAGAGCGCCGAAAACGACTCTCGGAATCAGTCCACTGGAGGTCCCGACCCATCCCGGCGGCGACATCGCCGACCCGCCTCGCTTTCACTGTGCGATATCGACAAGCCGCCGGGACGCGGCGACGCGGCCGTGCTCGCCGTGCCTGAGACGGGCGATTGGGCCGGCCAGCCGTGGCCAAGCCGCCCGGTCCCAGTCCAGCGTCCAGCCCAAAGCGGGGGCCGGGCCAGGCCGCCCCATTGCCCCAGCTTTGGCAGGCCGTGAGTCGGGCGGGCCATGAGCCGGGCCGGGCCGG